ATGGCGCTTTACAGTAAAAAATGTTATTAAAAATAAAATTTACATTAAAAATTTACATCAGTGATAAAAAATTACTAACAAATAAAATAGCTAAGCTGAGCTAAGCTAATAGCTAAGCTAAGATAAAGCCAAGAAATGTAGATATTTGTTTACAATATTCAACTTACAACAACTTTGACAAAGAAACTCAAATGTTATTGTTTAGGGAAAAGCGAAATTACAGCAATGAAATTTTTAAATGTCTCGCAGCATGATTTTAAGTCAGGAAGACTTAACAACTCCTATTGAAGATAAGCAACTTGATAATTTTTATAGAAAACGCGACGAAAGTTTCTTCAACCGTCAGAGACCAGGGTGCATTCCGAAACACTTCCACCCCGAAGACACACCAAGGCTTTTTGAATTCCTCGCCACACACCTAACGCCATACCAACGCAGGCGGGAAATTTGGACTCAAACCGAAACGGATCGTAAAGATGCCCGTTATCGGTCAGGATACAGTATTGACCATTATTCAATATGTGAGATAAAGAGTAGTGGATATATCAAATGCAAAATCAGATCCACAGAATACAATACATATAAGCTTACTTTTGTAATTTAAAATAATTTAAGCTTACATGATACAAAATCGGACTTCTTCTTCGCGAAAGGGTAATAGTGGATCCAACAGGCCAGGGAGGAGTTATTGGAAAGGCCTTAACTTTCAGAAAGTCTAACAAAATTTAAGCGCTAGGAACTAGTTCCTCCCTGGCCTTTTGGTTTCGCCGTTTAGAATACTCTTTCGCGAATTGAGCTACATTAGAAGATGTCCGATTTTGTGTTTTAAATTAAGCTTATTTTAGGTACTATACGACCCCTCAAGTATATAATGCTTTTTATTCTCATCCGTGTTTAAATAAAGGATCTTACTTACTTACTTATTTACTTTTACTTTCGCTTCGCTCTAGGAAGATGAAAAAGCAAAGGACGACTTATGGCAGGTCCATTGTCTATATTTCCTGGCAAGTTCCGCTTCGCGTCGTTCCTCGCTCATGTTTCGCCTTCTCTCTTTAGCCTTCGCTTGCTCTGATTCACGGCATCGGTTCAGTGTTACAGAATAGAAATGAGTTTTCTTTTCTTAAATGGAGTGCTTCTGTTTTAACGGACAATCTCGTTTCGCTAAAAGAAACTCCCTCTTTCAAAATGGTGAGATTTTGAATTTTCATGCTATTTCCCGCTAAAAAAACGCGGCTGCCCAATTTTCCGCCAAGAGGGCCCCGCCAAGAAAAGTCTTGTGTTCCCCCGTTCGAGTTACCTTCCCTCTCCTTCCCTCAGAGTCTGTCCAGACGGTACAGACGGACGCTAGCCTGTTCCAGGCTCTCGGTCCGAGAGGGGACGCGACAAGCGGGATCAGCGACGAGCGGGATCCGGGAGAGAAAAGGAGAGGGCGGCAGGAGGTCTCTCCTTTATCTCTTCCAGACCGGCCAAAAATATGTTCTATTCCGCCTATAATACATCACAGTTTGTGGCCATGTTTTTTTTTTAAAAAAAAAAAANAGAAACAAAAACAAAAACAAAACCGTAAACAGTATAAAAACCCTTAAAAACAGCCACGGTGGTCTGTTTATCTTTGTCCAACCGGAAGCCTCGTTTTTCGGGCGAAAAATATCTTAGCCGAGCGCAGGCTGGGGAGAAAGATATCATAATTGTGGCCTACACGGTTCACAGGCTAACCGCGGAAATAAAGAATATGCTGAGTAAATATAACGCACAGTTTCTTTTAAACTTACGCATGCCAACTACTTTGCAATCTTAGTGGTCAGCGGGAAGGAGGCTTCAGTTATGCTTATATAATTCGTTATAATTTGTTATTTTTATTTTTTAAATTTGGAGGGTGTGTCCCTGTTTGGTCATATGTCGCCTTCATATCTACGGCTGTAGCTTGCTAGACTAATGTAACTCACTTCCTACATACACACTGTGCAATGAAGCCGGCTGACGCTCGAAATGTCAGCTTTTCGATTTTCGACGCTACAGTAAGTGCAGCGATAAATCTACTCTTATCAGATAAAAAGCCGGCAGATACTGCGGAGAACTCCGTGCGCGAAAAAGGAAATATCGTCAGTCGCAGCCGGCGTCTCTTGATACGATCGTGTTACTTATTTTCAGGAGCCCAGATGACTCCATCCCCGGAGACCCAGGGGCAGCTAGTCGGGACGGCACGAACCTGAAAATGTCGTGTCTTCCCGACTATAGTTGCCGCATGAGGTCACTCCTGATGTTATTTATTATTCTGTTTTTACACCTGAGGCGGAAAACAGATTAGCACACACTTTTGTTTTTTGTTTTTTTTTTTTACAAGAATATTGATTTTGCGGCCCAGGCTGAATATTCTCATTTTTTGTTGTGCCGATTTTAGGCTGAAAATACCAGCTGTGAATATATTTAGATTATAGCGTATGACATTTCTGTTTTCGAATGTATTTGGTGTCTGGATGGTGTTAAAGTAATTTTGGAGCCAGACTGCAGGCATCAAAGCCAGATATGACGCCGCACATAACTTCTCGCAGAATCCTGCTGTTGCTGCTTTGTTGGCCTTTTAGCTAGTTTTGCTGTTTAGGGAAAGGAAGAATTTCACACGGCTTAGTGCGTATTCTTATATTAAAAAAAAAGCCGAGAGTGTATTCTCGAAACGTCCGTGTACTTCAACTCTTTATTTCGGCACTTGAAAATATTCTATTTTTATAAACTACACCCATTCTGACTGGCCGTATAGAATTTTCTCAGTACCGTATGTGGGCATCACGCCGACACGCTGTTTCGTGTTTTCTTTCTGCGTCCTATAAGGTTATTGATGTACAATAGAGATGATGACTTTCGAAAACATCTCGTTATGCTCTCCTGAACTTCTATCGGTATCTAGTCACGGTTTGTTAGCTATGATGTCAGACCATAATTTTCTTGTCTTTTGTTGCAGAAATCGAAAACGCTAGATTGAAGTACGCAAGTTCAGTAATGTCTAAATATGGCTCCTTTTTGCGATGACAATTATCTATATTGACTCACACTTACATAAATTACAGAAGATTGTCGCATGCAGGCATTATATAACTTAATAAATTTTTGCCCATCGCCCCTTTCTAAATGTACGTCTGGTAAATAAAATTTACTCACACCTTCTTTTACTAAAGACAGAGGGGTAGGGTGCAAATTTATTCATGCCGACATTTTTCTCACGCCCACGACAGCGTCGATCGTTACGCGATGTCCCGGATGTGAGACGGCTTGGCCAGTTTGCAGTTATTAGAGCTACAATAATCTCAAATACGGACTGATCTATTTACCTCAGTGGAAAAGCTTATCTGGAAGGTGAGTCTGCTAGCTAACAGGTAGTTTATAAACCATAGCCTCGCATCAACCCTATTTTAACATTTTCTTCGCGAAGAATTATTTCTCTAGATGGTTTTGGAAGCTGAGTCTTTCGGAGCGAATGTCAACAGATTTCTAGTTGACACCCATTTTCGTTCGCGCGAACCACTCTTGTCATGTGTTTGCCATAGTTTTGAGCGTATTTGTTTTGCAAGATGTATACTTTTTAGCAAGTTATTGTTGTGGAATTGCTGTATTTAAGTGACGTGCATAAGCTTAGATGATCTTAGGGACGCGTTCTGGCTGTTGCCGTTGTTAATTGCGAGAGCACTGTGCAATTTGGGGCTCATCAAAAAAATTATTTAAGTGAATGGACGTCGATCGCTTTGCATTAATTTCGTGCAAAAACTGTGTTTGCTCTTTACGAAATGACCCGTGTTTGTTAATGCAAGAATTCACAGTTTCGATGTCTTATTGCGGTTAGTTATGTCTTCCAACCGCTATTTACATGCAAAACCATATTATACCGCCGTTACCATGAACGCGTGAATTATAAAGCCCCTGCGGGTTTATTTCCTCCCCTAGGCTAGTCAACATTTGTTTTCTAGAAATAACCATTAATCCACGAGATTTTTCTACTAAAATAGCTCGTCCTTCGACTGACAAAATTTGCGCGATCCTGAATTTTTTTTATTGTAAGAAAACATTTGAGATAAAACTAGTTAAATCTACCGTTCTGTTACTTATTTTCCGCATTTGAAGTGTCACTTCTAGCACATTTTTTGTCTCGTTATTTTCGATTCAAAATATTTCAATCCTTGCAGCATCCTTGATGCTAATAAAATCCATGATTCATTTATAATTATTTAACGGAACACCTATTATATAATATTGAAAATACATGAAGGAATATTTCTTTTTGTTTTTTTATTCTCTAGAGACAACAAAAATTTAATTATGTGCGGTATCAAAATGCATAAATTACAACACAGGTCTACCGTATATGGACACTTGAGCTAAATTTGATTTGACCAAAAACTAGTGAACTAGTTTTTCTCTTGTTTACTAGTTCTTCATTTTGGGTCGATCTCACCAACGCAAAGAAATGAAATGATGTCACACTGGGCTTAATAATCACTTTTTAATGCAATCCCTCCCCCCGACCAAAACCAGACCTTCTGAATAATTCTATGTGCCACTTGATGAATGCCGTTAAGTTTGATGTTTATGCCTCTATAGTCCCACAAAGTCAAAACTTCCCTGTTGTGTTGAAGTAGGTGTTTTCTTTTAGAAAATAACCAAAATCTTTAGAAATCGAAGAAAGATTTAAATTATTGCGTTCGACGAAGTGGAACGCAAACCTAATTTTGACCTGTGGCTTTTCAGAGTTGGTTTTCCTGTGCACGGTTCTAGGCCGAAAAATACCACATTCCTGTAAGGACACCAAAATGGCCACCCCGCTTGATTTTTGCAGGAGCATGTCACGGCCAG